CGCTTTTATACCCGCACTCGCTTTATTGTTTATGTCATAGGCTGCCGCCTGCCAATGTCAAGGGCATTGTCGTTTTTTCATTTCATGCTTCAGACACCGGTCACGCTGAAGGCGTTCCCCTAGCGCCCTCTAGAGGACGCAGCGTCTCGTTCCCTGTTCTCAGGGAACCATGGTTACATGCGTAACCTGAGACGTTTATGGTACTGATTTGAGAAGATGTTTTATATGAAATACTAAAGTTTGGGAAAAGAAAGAAAGAAAGACAGACAGACAGAAAAAAGAAAGAAAGACAGACAGAAAAGAAAGAAAGAAAGAATTGACTTGCTATTCAATAACTGTAAAACTATAAGTATAAAAATTCAAACAAATATGACAATACTGGAATTTTAATTTTAGTTTAACTTTAGCAGAAAGACAGAATTCACATGAAGGAAGGAAGGAAGGAAGGAAGGAAGGAAGGAAGGAAGGAAAACTTTAATACATTTTTGAAACCAACAAAAACCACTGCCACTAACCACTAATTGGACCTTTGACTCAAAATCTTAGTTATTATAGAAGCATTGAGATACTGTTTATGGTTTTTATTAAAGAGAGAGAGTTTATTCATTTTTCTTTCAGTTTTAGTTTTAGTCATTTTAGTACATCAAGTTAAAATAAATTGAGAAATGTTATCTTGGCAACTATCATTCAGTTATTGTTTATTTCAAGTAACTTTTTAAGCAATTTGGGGTTTTTTTTTCTCCAGTATCTGTCAATTTACAGCAATTCATTACACAAATGCAATTATGTTTAATTAATCAAATGCATTCTCCCTTTTTTTTGCATGATTGCTTTGGTTTGAATAGAGTGGAGATAATCAATCTAAAACACACTTCTCTTTCAGCTCATTCAACAGGATACACACACGCTTTGTCACAGAATTATATGCATTTATCATGATTATTGGTTTAGTTTCACCCACTCAGTCTCTGTTTGGATATATCAGTATACTGTTCATTATTAAGACTGATTTTTCCATTTCAGAGACCCAATGTATTTCAAAAGAGAGTGATGATGGAAATCTCTCTTATTATCGATAAAAGCTGAAGTGGGGGCGGGGGGGAATCAGGTTTTTACATGTTGTAAGTGTGCCTGGAGAAAGTGTGCCTGGAGATAGGTGTGTCATGAAAGGTCTAGTCTGGCCCATTCATGGGGTTTCATGAGGCTTTGAAGCAGGAACAAAAGTCTGTGGACATCCCCTTTTGATCAAAACCAGGATGTCAAAACCTCATCTCAAATAACCTTCCAAACTTTGCGCCCAAAAGTTTCATCCAAGTCCCTTTAAGTTTGCTTACGGACACAGAACTGGCAGACATCTCAGGAACAAGCTGCACATGTGAGGAGGGAATAAAATTGTTTATTGTTTAGCACATCAAAGGCAAAGGAACGGAAAGAGGCAGGAGAGAAAGAGCGAGGAAAAAGTGAAAAAAGAGAAGTGAGAAGAAGGGAGACATGCTTTAAATGCACATGTTTCTGCTTATGCAGCATGTAAACTGCAGCCGTGACTGGAGTACGTCCCCATCCACACAGCCCTTCAGAGATCTGAGCCAAAGTCCTAGTTATATATGGTGCACTGAGAAACAATAATGTCTCTGATGCACTCGCCCGATTTAAACCCCCAGTTAAGACCATAAGACTTGGCTATCATTGCTTGAAATTCTCCGCAAATAAGAGATTTTTGGTATGACCATGAACAAACTTTCCATGTGTGGGGGATTTTAATCACACAGTGAGTGACTATGTTCCAAAACCTCTTAAGTACCTTCTAAGATCATCGGTCATACAATAGTCATAACTATACCATCCAAAATTAAAAATCATTGATTTGACAGCTGTTCAAAGTTTTTGTGCATTCTAATGAAATAACATTTATTGAAATCAACACATAAATCAAATATTATATATATCTCCAAACATCCAAGATGTTGAACAATGTGTAAATGATAATTATAAAAAAATGCTTAGAATTCAGTAAAAACCAGAAAGAATTGGTAAAAATAGTTCTAACAATCTAATATAAATCTAATCTAACAAAAAAATGTATATTTAAAGCTGCTGTCAGTAACGAAGGAAGGAAAACTTTAATACATTTTTGAAACCAACAAAAACCACTGCCACTAACCACTAATTGGACCTTTGACTCAAAATCTTAGTTATTATAGAAGCATTGAGATACTGTTTATGGTTTTTATTAAAGAGAGAGAGTTTATTCATTTTTCTTTCAGTTTTAGTTTTAGTCATTTTAGTACATCAAGTTAAAATAAATTGAGAAATGTTATCTTGGCAACTATCATTCAGTTATTGTTTATTTCAAGTAACTTTTTAAGCAATTTGGGGTTTTTTTTTCTCCAGTATCTGTCAATTTACAGCAATTCATTACACAAATGCAATTATGTTTAATTAATCAAATGCATTCTCCCTTTTTTTTGCATGATTGCTTTGGTTTTATAATAGAGTGGAGATAATCAATCTAAA